ACCCTGCTTTCCATAACTCACAAGACGAGTGGTAAATTTTAATTTTCATTTGTGTTAATTATGTATATATTTGTTGTATTGAATTTATCTTAACGCTCACATATTTAATAGGGGTTACCGGCCGGATATGAATTTTACAAGTGGCCCATCCGGTAGTCATCACCTAATTGATAACGTCCATCATGAAGATAGATAGAGGAAGAGGGGGGGACCAATTTTAGGAAGGGAGATTAGAATAATGGAGGAAGAAGACGGGGGAAGAAGAAGATGGAGGGTTTTTTGGGGAGGGATATAACGCCACTATTTCTGGCGCTATATCACTGTCAGTGTATAACGCCAGAAATAGTGGCGCTATATCACTCTGACAGTGTATAACGCCAGAAATAGTGGCGCTATACATAAACGGTCCAGTTACCGTTTATATATAGCGCCACTATTTCTGGCGCTATATATATTTTTGTTACCTTTTTTTTTTACACCTATTTATGTGTTTTGAGTCCAAAATAGCAACATTTTGGTTTCGGACTCTTCAAGAGTATAATTCTACCTATCTACAATTTTTTACAATAGTTAAATATTTTCTTTAAAAGAAATCTAGTTGAGATTCGAGCCTCTAACCTCTTAGAGCAAAACTAGGAACTTAACCAACTTGCCAAGCAACAATATGTGGTGTCATGTCTTTTATTTTATTAGTTACGTACAGTATTACTATATATATTTTGTAAAAAATTTCGATGACATTGCTTCGTTCCACGTGCATCCACCCATTGCCTATAAGTAGCAGGGGATGGCTAATGAATGCAACGCTTAATAATTGCTTTTTAGTCTATTTAAAAAAGAATGTTAATTTCATTATTCAAAAATAATTTAACTTAAAATTTTTTTTTAGGTATGGGATTAGGATTATAATTCCAGGATAGAATTTGGGATTGTATATTTATCATATGCTTGTACAAATTTTATACCAAAATGGTGTATTAACGGAAAATACTTATCCGCACCAGGTGTTTACACCAAACCGATAGATATATGACATGTGTCTTGCATATGGACTTCAATTATTTAACCATGGTAAATTACATGCATTCTCATCTAGTTAAATTAATTAACCATAGTGAGTTAATATAGTTTGGTGTAAACACCCCGTGTGGGTAAGTATATTGGATAAGGGATAACAATCCCAGGATTATAGGATTATTAATTCCGTTTTGCAGTCAAATAATTTATAAACCTTTATTTTATCCATAATGAGATGAACTATAGCCACATGAATGTTTTACCTTGTTTTTAAATCACAAGTTTGAAAAGATGTTTTTCTTTTAAATCAACCAAACACTTTCATGTAAATTGGGATGAACGCCACAAAGGCATAAATGCAATAAAAATAAAAATAGGGACCAGAGTGGTATTTTTAGAACTTCTCAACGACTCATTCAGTTAGTTACAACGTAAACGAACAACCGCTTACACCTGTTGCACGTTTATTCCACTCATTTGGATATTTGTGCGTTTGCCTGTTGATTTCAAGATATAGTGGTTATCTTAATCATTTGCGTAAATCTTAGTGTTACGTATGATTGAAGCGTTTGACTTTTAATTACAAAAATATTTAAAGTAATTTATTCTTAAAGAAATGGTTCAACCCTGGATGCAGCTGTATTGATAGTACTTTCTTAATTTCCTTTTTCATTTTCTTTTTTGTTTTGCTAGGTGGGGTTTAAACCCAAAGTTTTTGGACTATTTGATTACGTACTCATTGATCACTTGTTGATATTTCGTTTTCGGATACATTTTTGGCACTAATTAATTGCATCAGATAAGCTCCGTATTAATTACTTCATTTATATCACATTATTTGATTGTATTTCATGTGTATTATTTATATCAGTACTAATCGTTGCTTTCTCCGAATTGTTCTTACTTTAATCGTATGTGTGCATTTCACACAATGCATTAATTAATTTATCTATCTTTTAATTTCTGCCCATGTCAGGCTTTAAATTAAGCTATTTAGAGAAGTCTCTTGATTACTGGAGAGGACGATATTATCTCTAGTCTTTAGGGA